AGCCAGGTCTTCACACTCTTCCGGAATGCCAATATGATGAGAGCTCACCCCTCTCTGAGGATTCGAACCGGCAACCTTTTGATCAGCAAGTTCTGCAGTTCAGTGGTTTAACCTGCTGTGCCACCGCGTCCCCTTAAATACTGACAGATTATGTTATTTTGTATCAGAACAAATCTCTTTGACTGATTTTCCCCATCTCCTAATCCCAAAGTTCCTATGTATTTTGAGAACTATCTCAATTATTTTTTCGAAGAAAACTTACACATGTAGAAATGGAATTACCATATAATAGTTTATGACTCCAGCAAAGGATCACCGCCTTGTCGGGGCGCTGGAGCTTGAGCACCTCAATGATGTCATGAGCGAAACCGTGAAGGGACACCCAAGACGGGACGGTTGTGGCAGAGAGGTCAGACCAAGCGTGATCCCTGGGGAAGGCAATGGCAAACCACTCCAGTATCCTTGCCAAGAAAACTAAATGGACCAGTACAACCAGAGATATGTCGGTATGCCATTGGAGGATGGGACTCCCAGGTCGGAAGATGGCCAAAATGCTACTGGGGAGGAGCAGATGATTAGTTCAACTAGCCCCAGATGTGATGACGCAGCTAGCTCAAAGCCGAAAGGAAGGCTAGCGGCCGACGGTACTGGAGGTGAACGAAGAATCCGATGCTCTAACCAGAAGACTATATAGGAACCTGGAATGTAAGATCTATGAGCCAGGGCAAATTGGATGTTGTTATTGGTGAGATGTCAAGACTAAAGATAGACATTCTGGGGGTCAGCGAACTGAAATGGACTGGAATGGGCCACTTCACATTATATGACCACCAGATCTACTACTGCGGACAAGAGGAACATCGAAGAAATGGCGTAGCCTTCATAATTAATAAGAAATTCGCTAAAGCGGTGCTTGGATACAACCCAAAAAATGACAGAATGATCTCAATTCGAGTGCAAGGAAAGCCTTTCAACATTACAGTGATCCAAATATACGCCCCAACCACAGCTGCTGAAGAAGCAGAAGTAGATCAGTTCTATGAGGATCTGCAGGACCTACTGGATAATACACCAAAAAGAGACATTATTTTCATGACAGGAGACTGGAATGCCAAGGTGGGAAGTCAAATGACAACTGGGATCACAGGCAAGCATGGTCTGGGAGAACAAAATGAAGCGGGACGCAGGCTGATAGAATTTTGCCAGGAAAACTCGCTGTGTATAACGAATACTTTCTTCCAACAACCTAAAAGACGGCTTTACACATGGACCTCACCAGACGGTCAACACCGAAATCAGATTGACTACATCCTTTGCAGCCAAAGGTGGCGGACATCCATCCAGTCGGTGAAAACAAGACCTGGGGATGACTGTAGCTCAGATCACGAACTTCTTATTGCCCAATTTAGAATAAAACTAAAGAGATCAGGGAAAATACACAGACCAGTTAGATATGATCTCACTAACATCCCTAGCGAATATACAGTGGAAGTGAAGAACAGATTTGAAGGACTAGATTTAGTAAACAGAGTCCCAGAAGAACTATGGACAGAAGTCCGAGACATTGTTCAGGAGGCGGCAACAAAGTACGTCCCAAAGAAAAAGAAAACCAAGAAGGCAAAATGGTTGTCTGATGAGACACTGGAAGTAGCCCAAGAAAGGAGGAAAGCAAAAGGAAACAGGGATAAGGGGAGATATGCCCAGTTAAATGCGCAATTCCAGAGGTTAGCCAGAAGAGATAAGGAACTATTTTTAAAAAAGCAATGCATGGAAGTTGAAGAAGACAACAGAATAGGAAGGACAAGAGACCTCTTCCAGAAAATTAGAAACATGGGAGGTAAATTTCAGGCAAAAATTGGTATGATAAGAAACAAAGATGGCAGGGACCTAACAGAAGCTGAAGAGATCAAGAGAAGGTGGCGAGACTATACAGAAGATCTGTATAGGAAGGATAATAATATTGAGGATAGTTTTGACGGTGTGGTGAATGAATTAGAACCAGACATCCTGAGGAGTGAGGTTGAATGGCCCTTAAGAAGCATTGCTAACAACAAGGCAGCAGGAGACGACGGGATCCCAGCTGAACTGTTTAAAATCTTAAAAGATGATGCTGTCAAGGTGATGCATGCCATATGCCAGCAAATATGGAAAACACAAGAATGGCCATCAGACTGGAAAAAATCAACTTATATCCCCATACCAAAAAGGGAAATGCGAAAGACTGCTCAAACTTTCGTACAGTGGCCTTATTTCACATGCCAGTAAGGTAATGCTCAAGATCCTGCAAGGAAGACTCCAGCAATACATGGAGAGAGAGTTGCCAGATGTTTCAAGCTGGGTTTAGAAAAGGCAGAGGAACGAGAGACCAAATTGCCAATATACGCTGGATAATGGAGAAAGGCAGGGAGTTTCAGAAAAACATCTACTTCTGTTCATTGACTATTCTAAAGCCTTTGACTGTGTGGATCATAATAAATTGTGGCAAGTTCTTAGTGGGATGGGCATCCCAAGCCACCTTGTCTCTCTCCTGAGGAATCTGTACAAGGACCAAGTAGCAACAGTCAGAACTGACCACGGAACAACAGAGTGGTTCAAGATTGGGAAAGGCGTACGGCAAGGCTGCATACTCTCACCCAACCTTTTTAACTTGTATGCAGAACACATCATGCGATGTGCGGGGCTTGATGAATGCAAGGCTGGGGTGAAAATTGCTGGAAGAAACATTAACAACCTTAGATATGCAGATGACGCCACTTTGATGGCCGAAAGCGAGGAGGAGCTGAGGAGCCTTCTAATCAAGGTGAAAGAAGAAAGCGCAAAAGCTGGGTTGCAGCTAAACGTAAAAAAAACCAAGATTATGGCAACAAGAATGATTGACAACTGGAAAATAGAGGGAGAAAATGTGGAGGCCGTGACAGACTTTGTATTTCTAGGTGCAAAGATTACTGCAGATGCAGACTGTGGCCAGGAAATCAGAAGACGCTTACTTGGGAGGAGAGCCATGTCCAGTCTCGATAAAATAGTCAAGAGTAGAGACATCAGACTGGCAACAAAGATCCATTGCCTAGTCAAAGCCATGGTCTTCCCTAAGGATGTGAGAGCTGGACTTTAGGGAAGACTGAGCGAAGGAAGAGAGATGCTTTTGAGCTGTGGTGTTGGAGGAAAGTCCTGAGAGTGCCTTGGACTGTGAGAAGATCCAACCAGTCCATCCTCCAGAAATAAAGCCCGACTGCTCACTGGAGGGAAAGATACTAGAGACAAAGTTGAAGTACTTTGGCCACATCATGAGGAGACAGGAAAGCCTAGAGAAGACAATTATGCTGGGGAAAGCGGAAGGCAAAAGGAAGAGGGGCCGACCAAGGGCAAGATGGATGGATGGCATCCTTGAAGTGACTGGACTGACCTTGAGGGAGCTGGGGGTGGTAACGGCCGACAGGGAGCTCTGGCGTGGGCTGGTCCATGAGGTCACGAAGAGTCGGAGACGACTGAACGAATGAACAACAACAAGTTTATGACTAACCAGATGATGTGAAGGTAAGGTTCAATTAATCAAAACTCCTGCTCCATATAAATATATTTTCTGTTTCTGATTCCAAAAAAATAAATAAAATACTGTTGCATTTGTGATGTCAGAGAGACATTTGTAAAACTGGTTCTTGTCACATTACTTGTTTACCAAAGCACCTCACCTATTTGAGGGACATGTTCAGCACCTTGGGGAGCTCTTACGAATTTAGAATGGATCCAGAATGGATTCACTGCTCCACTGAAATGGAAACACCATCCGGACTTGAAAAAATAAACACGGTTCCTTTACCTTCACATATTTATCAACTAGATATTCCCGCAGAACTTCACAGGAACAGCCAGGCACAGTTGTAAAAAAAGCAGAGATTTATTAATACACAATTAGATCAAACTATTTCATATGTTATTGAAGGCTTTCATGGCCAGAATCACTTGGTTGCTGTGAGTTTCTGGGCTGTATGGCCATGGTCCAGAGGCATTTTTTCCTGGTGTTTCACCCACATCTATGACAGGCATCCTCAGAGGTTGTGAGGTCTGTTGGAAACTAGGCACGTGGGGTTTATATATCTGTGGAATGTCCAGGGTGGGAGAAAGAATTCTTGTGCATTCGAGGCAAGTGGGAATGTTGTAATTGGCCAGCTGCATTAGCATTTAATAATCTGGCAGATCAAAGCCTGGCAGCTTCAAAGCTTGGCTGCTTCCTGCCTGGGGGAATTTTTGTTGGGAGGAGTTAGCTGATTCTGATTGTTTCCTGTCTGGAATTCCCGTTTTCTGAGTGTTGTTCTTTATTTACTGTCCTGATTTTAGAGTTAATCTACATATATATAGATACATATATATACACAAATATATAAACCCTACTTGCCCAATTTCCAACAAACCTCACAACCTCTTAGGATGCCTGCCATAGATGTGGGTGAAATGTCAGGAAGGAATGCTTCTGGAACATGGCCATAAAGCCTGGAAAACTCACAGCAACTTATTTAATCGTTCATGGTTCCTGAAAAATTTCAGACGCAGTCTCTGTCCGGCTGTTCTGGCTGTGTTTTGTCTCAAACTGTCTTGAGTGAAGGAGGACATAGTCTTGCTGCATTTTGAGTTTTATCTTGCCTTCAGATTCCTACAGGAAGAGCTGACTCCAAGGAGAAAGAAACATTGTCAGGAATCCAAAGATAGAATAATCCTATAGGGCAAGATGCATTTCTGTCTCCTGTTTAATCTATTTTAAGTATGTTGTTGTTGTGTGCCTTCAAGTCATTTCCAACTTATGATAACCCTAAGGTTATCATAATGATAACCTGTGAATGAAAGCAAGTGACTTGTTTCCCCCTACAATCACACTTCTTTGTAATGGACTTCATGTTTGTCATTAATGAATCTCCTCAAGGTTTCACAAAGAAATGGAAGCAGGAAGATGAAATGCCTTAAGGGTGGAAAAAGTCACATACCCATGCAAGACTGAGATGCGCAAAATGAGTTTTTCCGTATCTTATTTTGAATCACGTCCTACAGTGCTCTCTGCTTTGCTCATTCAAGGCATAGCGATGGAGATGTCTGGTCCAGCAGGGTCCTCCTTCCCCGGAGAACTATGGCTAGCACGACTTGGGTCTCAACGTGGTGGGTTGCACTACAGTCCTGAGGTGGGTTACACAATGTTAGCATCAATTTCCCACTATTGTTTTGTGTTTCCTTCTAGAGAGGTAGGTAGCCAGGGAGGAAAGGAGGAAACTTGACAGAATGACTAGATGTAGGGTGTTGTTATTGTTGTTGTTATTGTTGTTGTTGTTGTTGTTATTGCTGGGTGTCTTGAATCATTTCTGAACTGTTGTGAACCTAAGTTGACCCTATCACAGTACTTCCTTGGCTATATTTGTTCAAAAGAGGATTGCCTTTGTTTCTGAGAGTGTGACTTGCAAGAGGTGAGTTTCATGGCCAAGTAGGTATCCAAGTTTAATGCTCTAGCTGTCATTGCACTACTTTGGCTGCACAGATAGACACCAAGTGAGTTCGAGTTCCTTCTGTCTTGGAGCCATTTTGTTTGAGATGGCTGTCCTCCCCTTTATTTTAATCAGAAGTTCTTATCTATATGCCATATGCCATAAAGCAGTGGTACCCAATCTTTTGTCTGCCAGTTTGGGGTATTTCAGCTTCTATAATTCCTGACCACTGGACAAGTTGGCTGCAGCCTCTGGGAGTTGCAGTCCAAAACAACTGGAAATTACTGACCTAAAGGATCCTTCTGTGCTTAAAATTTCATCATCCTAACAAGAAGGAACCTCCATTGGTGCAATGGGTTAAACTCTTGTGCTGGCAAGACTGAAGACCAACAGGTCAGAGGTTTGAATTTGGGGAGAGCGCAGATGACCTCCCTCTGTCAGCTTCAGTTCCCCATGAGGTGGCATGAGAGAAGCCTCCCACAAGGATGGTAAAACATCTGGGTGTCTCCTGGGCAACGTCTTTGCAGACAGCCAATTCTCTCACACCAGAAGTGACTTGCAGATTCTCAAGTTGCTCCCGACGAGGAAAAAGAAAATCCTAACAAGACAAGAAGAGTAAAGATGTGAGAGTGTGGGTGTTTGTTGTTTGAGTTAGCAAATCTCTCTTGAGACAGCACTCCAAGATAATAGCTGTTTTAATCTGTTGCATAGAGTTGTCATGGGAAACAAAGCTAACACCTTTCCCACCCTCAGCATGAGAGCGGGAGAAGCACTTTGCTCCCTTCTGGCGAAGGGAAGACCCAGCAAGGACTTGTTGTGGGTGGGGCCTAGGTGAGTTGAGCCTAGCCCACCTCACTTGGCCTGAAGAAGCTGACCCACCCACCACTGCTACAGTGTACTTGTCAAGGGTCGCTGTTAGGGGCCGGGTAGGAATCCCCCCCCCATATTCTGGGGAGAGGAGGTTCACCTACCCTACACTGCGCATTTTGGGCAAATTGGGTTGAGGACGTCTTAAATAGGCATCAAACGTATGGCAGGCACATGCTGGTTCTGGTGTGCACCACAGGAAGGGAGAGTACGCTACAGTCTCTACGTGTTACCTGAAGAGTTCCCATGGGAGCAACGTATGGGTTGCATCTGGGAATTATGGTGTCTTGCCCTTGTTGGAGGATGACGTGGTCATGCAGGGCTACTGCCTCATCTGATTAATAACAAATTCAAGTTCAAATTCATGTTCATGTTGATTTATAAATTGGATTGGATGATCACTCAGAGATTGATTGGTAACATATAATAAAAGTTGCCCATAGTTAACCCACAACATGGTGTTGCCTGGTGATTTCGCCGTTTGGAGAGCAAAAGCTTTGGTGTAGTTTTTTGTTGAGGTAGAAGAAGGGAGGGAGGAGGGGAAGGAGAGAGGAAAGACAAAAGGGAAGGAAGGAGAAAGGGAAGGAAGGAGGAAAGAGAAGGAAGGAAGGAAGGAAGGAAGGAAGGAAGGAAGGAAGGAAGGAAGGAAGGAAGGAAGGACAAAAGGGTGAAATGGAACAAAAAGGGAGATAAAGGAGGGAGGGAAGGAGGAAGGAAAGAGAGAAGGAAGGAAAGAGAGAAGGAAGGAAAGACCAGTTCCCTCTGAATAAATCTTGACAAGAAAACTCTGAAACAAGAGTCACCCTAAATCTGAAGGCACACAAAAATAATCCTAATTAGCCATTAACTATACCTTACTTGGAAAATGAAGTGCTAAAAAATCTATTTTCTGCCCCAGTCAGTGAAACTTTAACTGCTCTCTCTCTCTCTCCCTTTCAATATCCCCTTTTTAGATGAGGAGTGTGCTATTTAGACTGACACCTTTCCTGATCTCCGTTGCCCTCTATTTTACACTCTGGGTCCAAGGACCCAGCATCTTTGCCAGTATTCTCAGGAGCCTCCCAACCATCTCCTTGGCATTCTTTGTGGCCAGCCAGTCCTACAGTACCGGAACCTTGACGCAGTATTCCCATAAAGTATTGCAAGGCCTGATGTTCTCAATTGTGGGAGATGTCCTCATTGTGTGGCCTCAACTTCTTCTTCCAGGTAAGGAGCTAATGGGACCCTGAAAGAGAGGGAAAGGAGCCAGGATTGGATTATGGGTAACTGGGTCTCATTCCAGCATTCCCATGGCTAGATCAAAATAGTAAAATGGTGCCTGTCCACTACAATGCACTGGGAGAATGTGGTTTGCAGATGGTAGATACAACACACTACTAGAGCTGGGGTTACTAGGATTATTTGGTGTGGTGCATGAAGCATCTATGGCAGTTCCTTTCAAACAAATAACACCATGTGTAACACAAATTAGAAAATATTTAACCAGTTGGAAAATTATTTTTCCAAGTTTTTCCAAAGTGGGGAAGACTTTTACAAGATGCAGATTCTGTAGATCTGACTGTAGTTGATCCTACTAAGTAAACTATCACTTTTGACTACATGAGCAGCAATGACATATACAACTAGTCTCAGTGTTACAAACATCTGACTTATATTCAACTCATAGTTAAGAATGGGGGGGGGGGGGTGAGAGAAATCTGCCCTTCAGAAGTGAAATTAATAATAATAACAACAACAACAGCAACAACAACAACAACAAAAATTTTTGTCCTGGGCAACAACAAAGCCAGTATAGACCTCATTTTGGTTTGTTTCTCCATAGTGTTAATGGGTTAGGTGCTCTTAGTTCCACTCCTCAGCTGAGACCTCTCTGACTTGGTTGGACCTGCTGGTAGTTACACTGCTGCCAGCACAGCTTTCAGCATCCTTGGCGCAGTTAAGCCCCCCACCACGACAAGGTGGCATCCATCGGGAAACACTTGGGAAGCGTTCGAATTGTGATTTTGTGACACAAAATCTAGCACACAGTGTTCCCTTGCTATTTCGCAGATCACTTTTTGCGGACTCGCTGTTTTGCAGGTTTTGCCTCCCAGTTTATGAATGGTTGCCGTTGCCCAGAGTGGCGTTCCAATCCCGCCTCCTGGCAATGATGGAGTGTGGAAGGGAGTTTCACCCTCCCCTTCAGGAGAGAGGCAGGCAATTAAGAGAGATTACAAAGCAAATCAGAGATAGCTAGCGAAAAAAAAAAAAAAAAGGTCCGTGGTGCCTTTAAATCTCTCCTCGCTTCTACTTCACCCTCTGTACTCGATATACATATAAAGCGTCCCTGCTTCATGGATTTTCACTTTTCGCAGGTGGCCCTGGAATGTAACACCTGCATATATCTCATTTGCTGTGTCATACTGTGTTTTTGTGTCTGTAAAATAATAATAACTCTATTCTAATATCCTGCCTGCATCTCTCTGAAGGGACTCGGGACAGCTTACATGGGAACCAAGCCCAATATAAGCAAGGTTGCAAAATAACACAATTAAAAACATTTAACAATCAACTATATTAAAACAATAAAACCTAAGACATCATAAAACATAACCAAACAGCAAACAACAAATGGCCAAGAACAGTGCAGATTTGAGACTAATAGGCCAGGACAGGGCTAGTACAACACAAACTGTAAGGCCAGGGGCTGAGAAAAAAGTGTTGGAGATCCTACTAAAAGATGAGGGCTAGGCAGATTTGGGACCCACACAGCCCTATATCCCAGAATATCAAGGCAGAAAATCCCACGATATCTGCTTTGAACTGGGTTATCTTAGTCCACACTCAGATAATGTGGGATTTTCTGCCTTGATATTCTGGGAGATAGAGTTGTGTGGAGGGCCCTTGATTAGTAGTTGAACCATTATTTGAAGGCACATTGGAACATCCAAGTTTTCAGATCTTTCTGAAAGGTAGATAAGTTGGGGGCTAATGGAATCTCCGTGGGGAGTTACTCAAGTTACTTTATAGGTCATGATGGGTCAAGTCCCAAAGCTACTCTTTCTATAGGATTTTTGACTGTGGTTCATGAAAACTCCTAATGATACAAGGATGGGTTTCAAAGAGTTCAGGAACCAGATACAAAAATGATTCCCACTCTCGCTTTAATGTCTTTAATTGTGCTTCCGTCCATTTTCTGAGGACAGGATCTCTGTCTTTTCTCAAATTTTCAACGGGATCCATGAAGCCCCAAAAGGTTAAGAACCACGGCCCTGCAACACCCCACCACAAAGTCTTTCAGAATAACCTGACTAAAAATATATCTGAATGCCCAAAGAGAATGCATCACATGATAAGGAGGTTTTAAAACAGTGGTTCTTAACCTGTGGGCCACTGACCACCAGTGGCATGCGAGGATGAAAATCTGGTCCGTGAGCCTCCTTCCTCGTTATTTATCCATTTTATTTCATTTATGTTTATTTCTGCTCCTTTCATGCCACTTGCCACTCTTTCCCTGTCATTGACCATGGCATATGTTCTATATGAGAAACTAGAGATGATGTGGTCTATCCAATGCAATTTTCTGAATCATTATCCCAAACCGAATCTAAAGTTGACCAAAAATTGATTTGTAACGATTTGGGTATTAATGTTGTAGAGCTGTCCCTGGTCAAAGTGGTCCCTGGTAAAAATAAAAGTTTGGGAACCATTGTTTTAAAATAAAAGTCAGATTACCACTTCTCTGGGGTGCTTTAGCCATGGCTGACAAGGACCTTTAAGGTCTACTCCAGCTTTGCTTCTATGAGTCTGTGGAAAACATGTATATGAAATACATATAGCCATTTATTTATTCATGCCATTCCTGGTTTAATAGTTGAATTAAACAACTAATACCTTGCGGGTTATGACACTCCCTGGAGCCCAATGAATCTGCTTTAAAGGCATATGGGACACATTTATTTACATAGTGATCAGTGCCCTTTAGTGTTGACCCAGTTTGGGTCTCCACATGTTATTGAACAACAACTCCCATTAATTTTGGTTATCTACTATGCAGACTGGGCATAATGGAACTTGCAAGCCAACAGCCCTTGTGGCTTTGAGATTGGAGCAAAGTTAAATAAAGGTTATTGCATTTAAATTCAAACCCCACTATCCTGACCAAACAAAACAACTTCATCCTTCAATATGACCATAGAGCTTCTTGCCCTCTCAAAAATCTCATGCCAACATTAGTAAAGGCTCCTCTGCAACCAGGGAGAAGGTTATGATATCAGCATGGGGCTCTCATGGAGCTCTGCAGCGGGGTTTTTTTTCATGTCAGGAATGACTTGAGAAACTGCAAGTCGCTTCTGGTGTGAGAGAATTGCCTGTCTGCAAGGACATCGCCCAGGGATGCCTGGATGTTTTGATGTTTTACCATCCTTGTGTGAGGCTTCTCTCTTGTCCCTTCATGGGGAGCTGGAGCTGACAGAGGGAGCTCATCCATGCTCTCCCTGGATTCGAACCTTTGACCTGTTGGTCTTCAGTCCTGCCGGTACAAGGGTTTACCCATTGCGTCACCGGGGACTCCTCTAAGAGACCAGAAGAGACACTTTTTGGACTATAACTTCAGAATCTCCTGGCCAGCATGGGAGTTGCCCCCGCATGCAGAGCTGGAGCTGACAGTGGGAGCTCATCTGCGCTCTAGATATCCTTGTATCACAACTCCAATCAGCTCTAGTCATGATGTCTAATAATACAGGAACTGTTATCCAGCATCTGGAGGGCTACATAAAATGTCACAGAGGACTGGATTTGGCCCATAGGCTTTGAGTTTGATACATGTGCTCAAAATAAATGATACATATCCTGTTTATCAGCAGCTAATAATAATGTATTGATCATGATTGTGCCACTCTAGAGCTGATGGTCTCTTAGAGTCAGGTGGTTTTAATGGTCTCTCTTTTTCTTCCCTTACCCTTTGCAGCGATGTTTGCTTTTGCCTCCTGTTTCATCTCCTACACCTCGGCTTTTGGCTTCACTCCTTTTCGGCCCCTGATCCTCGCCATTGTCACAGCAGTGGGGATTGAGATTCTCAACGTCTTGCTGCTGCCGTGCTTGAAGGGCATCTATCTGTTGGCCGTCCCAGTCTATATAGGCCTACTTGGCATCATGCTATGGCGCGGCCTCTCCCTCCCCAAACAAAAGCTGAGTGCTACAGTCGGCAGCGTGCTCTTCGCTGTGTCCGATCTGTTTGACGGCCTTGATACATACTGCTCCAACGTACCCAATTTCCGCCTCTTCATCATGACCACCTACTATGCTGCCCAGGGCTTGATTGCATTTTCGGTGACCTCTCAGGAAGTCCCTTGAAAGGAGAACTGAGCCTTGGAAGGGGATTATTTCATTAACATTTTAATGCGTTTTCGAAGGCTTTCATGGCTGGAATCACAGGGATGCTGAGGGTTTTCTGGGCTGTATGGCTATGTCCCAGAAGCATTGTCTCCTGACGTTTCTCCCACATCTATGCCAGGCATCCTCAGAGGTTGTGAGGTCTTAGAATGCCTGCCATTGATTTGGGTGAAACATCAGGAGAGAATGCTTCTGGAACATGGCCATACAGCCTGGAAAACTCACAGCAACCCAACATTTTCAATAATGGAGAACTCAGAAATCCTGTCTTTTAACTACTCTGTCTTCTTTTAGTCTGTTCTGCATACTGCAGCCCTCTTTCATCTGATTAATTCCAGAGAAACATCTCCATTCTGGAACATTCCAATAGTCAATTTTGCTGTATCATGCATGATGGTTTCTTAGGCATTGTTTACGTGGACAAAAATAATCATATTTATCTCATATCTGATGTTGTATTATGGTAAAGGTAAAGGTTTCCCCTTGACATTAAGTCTAGTTAAATACAACTCTGGGGGCGGTGCTTATTTCTGTTTCTAAGCCAAAGAGCTAGCGTTGTCCGTAGACACCTCCAAGGTCATGTGGCCAGCATGACTGCATTGAGTGCTATTACCTTTCAGTCGAAGTGGTACCTATTGCTCTACTCACATTTGCATGTTTTCAAACTGCTAGATTGGCAGAAGCTGGGGCTAACAGCTGGAGCTCACCCCACTCCCTGGATTCAAACCGCCGACCTTTCGGTCAGTAAGTTCAGCAGCTCAGCGGTTTAACCCACTGTGCCACCGGAACAGCATACATCATATCTGGAGAACTGAAATCTAATTCTGTCCTTTTTTTACTATTAAGGGCTTAATTCCAATTTAAAAAGAGGACCCTTTTACAATTTTCTGGAAGACCAGGGTTATTGTGTATCTCAGCTTTGTGGTTACACTTTTTGGGTGGGTGGTAATTTCTTTTGTTTATTTTTTCCAGGTGCGTTTCTACTGATAATTACATATTGGTATTAGTGCATCTCTGTCTATCAGCATTTAAATACCAGTCGCATCACTTAATAGGATTGCAAGTGCAAATGTATATAGGCATATGTATATATTTATGCACAAAGAGGAAGAATATGGAACAGCCACAATCCTGTGTCTGGAAATAATAATGTGAATTATAAACACACGATAATAATTATGGAAATGGCCCTTTAATATTGAAATGAATTCATACAGGAAAAAGCATGTGGCTGTTTATGCTTCTCTCATTTCAATTTAAGAAGGAGGTATTTGTTGCTAATGTGGTTACTAAGGGTCAGAAAAACATGAACTGAAGCAAAATTATTTCATTTATGTAGACAGCATTTGCGATGGCTATTTGTGATTTGCTCCTGGATGCAGTCATAATAAAGAAGTTAACTGGGAATGCCTTGTGATTTGAAAGCATTTATGTTTTGAAGGAAACATTAGGTTGTCGTTGTTCCAAGTTGACATCCGTAAAGGAGTGTCTAACCATCACATTAATGCAGTTTGAAATCACTTTAACTGCTATGGAATCCTGAAAGTTTCCTTATTGGAAATTTCATAACCTATTGGAAATAAATGCACCATAACCTTATTAAAAAGGTAAAAATGATGTCACATCTGTTTGGCAAATGTGAATCTCCATGAACATGTGGAGACCACCTTTTGAAAACCGCTAGCCAAGAAAAGCATGCCCTTGTTAGAAGTCAATGCTTTGAACAAGTGCTATTCATAAGTGTTCATGTAATGGCACACAGGTAACTCAGCTCTTAAACTGAAGAACCACGTCTTTAAACTGCCACGGATAAAGACATCCCACTACAAAAATATATTGGTTTGGCAGAGAGGATGGTTGTTTCTTTGAAGTAGAAGTTGCAGTTGTAATTGCTAAAAATATATACACTCCCTTGAAACCTCTTAGTTAAAATATGCACTCAGAGATAAAAACAAGGTAGTCTTGGGTTGTTGTAGGTTTTTTTGGGCTATATGGCCATGTTCTAGAGGCATTTTTCTCCTGACGTTTCGCCTGCATCTATGGCAAGCCATGGATGCAGGCGAAACGTCAGGAGAAAATGCCTCTAGAACATGGCCATATAGCCCAAAAAAACCTACAACAACCCAGTGATTCCGGCCATGAAAGCCTTCGACAATACAAAGTAGTCTTCTTTAAGAATAACATCTCAGGTTTACTAACAAACTTCTTGTACATATTCACTAGGCATGGTTAGGTACCGTTGGATTCTTCATAATTCGGACTAAAGTTGGAAAAATTACCTTTTTGAAGTGATTTCGAAGTTTTTAAGAAAACTGGAAGTCCCTTTGCCCTTCCAAAGCTGTTCCCCCATTTTTGTTATGACTCATGAAGTGAGTCAGAAATGATTCAGCTTTTCCCCGCTTCTGGTTCCTGGCCTCAGCTCAAGCCAGAGAAGCCAGTTTTAAAGCCAGAGAAGCCAGTTTTAAACCAGAGAAGGAAGGAATTTCCTCCGCTTGCTTTTCCCCGATCCTGGAGTAAAACAACTACTTTCAAAGTAAAGAGCACCCAATGAAACAGGAAATAACTCTTTCAAACTATTATCAAAAGGATTCGGAAGTCTCTGAAGTTTTGAAAAGTTTTGAACATTTTTTTCTGTGAAAATTGGAATTGACTTTAGAATCAAACCACCAGCACCCCCTACATCCGAAACAAGTTTTGAACCATTTCTTTGGATCAACCAAGCCTAATATTCACCATACAGTCACATTTCTTATTAGAGTTCAGTTAGATGAGATGTAGTTTCTTCTCTGTGTTGAGTACACAGCGCATGATACTTAATTGTCCATAGTCTTTAAGTATAGCTGTACTCACTGATGTCTGAAAGGAGACAAACTGCATCCACCTCCATTGAGGTCTAAAAGCATACTGTATAACAAAAATGGAGTCCTGTGTCTGAAGCCCCTCCCACACCAAAGAGGCACAGTCAAACTGGCAAACCAAAATGTACATACAATATTGGTTAACAATTATACACATATACAAACAGTTAGTGGAGGCTTGGAAGGTTGCTATTTCCAGCATTCCCCAACTAATTCTATTTTGACTCATGTTCTGTCTAATGTGTACATGAAATTACTGCTGGAGTTCACTCAAAGAGTCAGAAGGTGATCTCACCTGTGCACAGGTGACACCCAACCCTATCTCTCTCTTTCATCAAACTTCAGGCGTGATTATGATCAGTAATGGACTGGCTGAATGCCAATAAACTGATGTTCAATCCAGTTAAATTGGAGGAGGTAAAGCTGGAGCTGGTGTATCTGGTCTAGAATCTGGGATTCAAGCAATACTGGCTGGCATTGCCTTCTTAAGGAACAGTTAGATAGTAAAAGGTTTCTGGGGGTGGAAACCGTATCAGACTACTCACCATGTTCTGAATTATGACCCTGTCTTCTGGATAGCAACATTATCACTATTTGACAACAATAATTCCAGTTCATGAAGATTATCACAGTAAAGTGAAACATGCTCTCCATGACACATATTGTTAAGTTTGAAGGTGTACGTGAAACATAAATGAATTTTGTGTTTAGACTTGAGTCCCATGTTCAAGATATCTCATTATGTACACATATGCAAATACAAGTATTCCAAAATCTGGGGTAGGGGCGGGGATCCCAAACATTTCTTTTAGATAAGGAATACTCAACCTGCATTAAAATTGATGGCAAGTAAGACTTGAGTGACTGCTGCCAGTGGAGCCCTTGTTTTCTGCTGCCCTGGAGACTAAGGGCCCTTCCACACAGCCATATAACACAGAATATCGAGGCAGAAAATCCCACAATATCTGCTTTGAAGTGGATTATCTGAGTTCACACTGCCATATACGAGGGTTGAATGAAAAGTAATGCCTCCACCTTCGTAACTCCTCAACAGATGGCAGTACTGGTATGTGGCAGGTACTGGCTTGTTCAGTAGAGTCTCCTCTACAGTTCCATTTTGGTGGGAAGTTTTCGCATTGAACAGTTTTGTTCAATCTGAACCCTGTGCAGATGGTCGGTCAATGCAACTTAAGCAACGTGAGTTCTCAACAGCAGAAGGTGTCACCCCAAAGGGGATTCATCAGAGAATGCAAGCTGTTTATGGTGATTGTGTTGATTTGAGTACTGTGCATCGTTGGGGTGACACCTTCTACTGTCAAGAAATCAATGACTGCACATTGCTTAAGTTGCATTGACCGACCGTCTGTATAGGGTTCCATACTTTACACTTTAACAACAAAACTGTTCAATGTTAAGGCTTCCCGCCAAAATGAAACTGTAGAGGAGAGTCTACTGAACAAGCCAGTACATGCTGCATACCAGTACTGCCATCTGTTGAAGAGTTACAAAGGTGGAGGCATTACTTTTCAGTCAACCCTCATATTTCAGTTCAAAGCAGAAAATGTGGGATTTTATTCTGCTGTGTGGAAGGGGCCTAGGACACAGAACAATGGCTTCAAACTACAGGAAAGGAGATTCCACCTGAACATTAGGAAGAACTTCCTAACTGTGAGGGCTGTTCAGCAGTGGAACTCTCTGCCCCAGAGTGTGGTGGAGACTCCTTCTTTGGAGGCTTTCAAGCAGAGGCTGGATGGCCATCTGTTGGGTGTGCTTTGAATGCAATTTTCTTGCTTCTTGGCAAGGAGTTGGACTGGATGGCCCACGAGGTCTCTTCCAACTCAGTGATTCTGTGATTCTATGAGAAGGTAAGGAATCTAAAGCAATAGGAGTATCCTTTTTATATCCTTCTCACTTGAACCTCAGTTATTACAAACTCCTTAACTTAGGTTCCATTCACACAACAGAACTATGGCATCTTCATTCCACTTTAACTGACATGGTTCCATCCTATGGAATTCTGAGATTTGCAGTTTGTTTGTTATTTTTTGTTATTATATACCTTGACACTGCTTCTTCTGGGCAGAGTATTAATTCCTTTTATTGGAATGTTCTCTTGTGGGTTAGGCTTACACACACACTATATATTAATTTAAGCATGTATTTGAATAAAAATATTTTAATACACATACATTAATTCATCAGTAGATTTTTTAGTTTACACACATGCTTACACAGCATGTATTTAAATAAAAATATTTAAATACACATACATCAATTCATCAGTATAATTTTTTTAGCTACAGGTTTTGGTTAGTTTTTATATCTTGGGTTACTTCTGTGATTTCAGTTATTGCAATTTTTTGGCTGTGATGATGAAAACACAATGACACACACATACACAATTCGATGGAAGAACTTACATGAACCTGAGATTTCACAATTTGAGTTGAGTTGAGATTTCAGAGTTTGAGTTGGAAACTTTGGAAACTGCTGAAAAAAAATTATAAGCGGCTGTGATTAGGGAAAGGTAAGTCATG